CATCAACACTGGAGAGGAAATTGTACAAAAAGATGAGTAAGGGAACTTCTGCAAGTGTAAATATTCTCAAAATTTACAATATACAGTATAGTTTTAAGCATGGCTCTAAAGGATCTCAAAATATGCCAAAACTATACTTTTGTGAAACAACATAAAACATTCCAGTGTATCTACAACCATCATACTCCGTAACCCAGTCAGGGGAAGCATATGCTTAACAATGCCAGAGTTACATGCACAATACATTAGGAAATTGACTAATCTTTGCTGTGACATTATGGCCTGTACAAACTTCATGATGAATTCTGTTTTTCCAGGGCTCTTGGAAAATATATTCATGAAATTTCAATGTCCGATGAAACAAGTCATCTTTTAACCAGAGCTTGACTGTGACATACCATTCCTCATTTCTATTCCAAGCAAGGCTTTGTTTTAGTCAAATAAATATCCATTTGTCTTGTTGTATTTCTTCTTTGTTTTTTTTTTTGTTCAATTCACACACAGGCCCGGTAATTGAACAGTAGTTGTTGTCGAGGCCCCGGTAAATGAAACTGCCATTGTAGCATCAAAAATAATCAATTTGATGAGTCTTGTATATACTCCCATACTCAAAGTAATGTGATATTGATTTGGCGCCCTGATATAGTACTCCTCTTCTGCTCCAGAATGATTATTGGCTTTTGACAAATTCCAGCACAATCTTTTATCCCCCCCCCACCTCCTCGCGCTCTGCCCCGGCCACCTCTTTTGTCTCAAAGCACCGGCGCCAAAGCCCTCAGCTCCAATTCCACTCTGCAGCCCGACTTTGTATGTGTTTGTAACACACTTGGACAATAAAAGACTCTTTCTTTATTGCTAAACAACAGCAGGAATACAATTTGACCCGATCAGTCTGCATCAAACCATTTTACACGCAACTCAATTTGCATCTAAAAGACGTGCAATTTCATATAGCATGCCTCTCTCTCTTTTTCCTTTCACCTTCATATACAATCACACACACACACACACACACGTGCCTACCTTTAAGTTATTATGTTTCATAGTGTTGTGAAGCATTGTGGATGATAGCTGTGAAAATCTAATACATTATTTAAATCCAAATCACCCTCTCCTGTCCGGCTATGTTATAGATCACAATAATGTCGCCTCTCTCTCTCTCTCTCTCTCTCTCTCTCTCTCTCTCTCTCTCTCTCTCTCTTTCTCACACTCACACACACACACACACACACAAACTCTTTTATCCCCTTTCTCTCTGGCTTTAGCTCTCTTTTCCCTCTGAATCAAAGCGACGGCAAGGACCAAAACAATCATATGGATGGAGTGATGGTTGAGGCGTAAGGTGAAGGGACAGCGGATGATTGATGCATGGACAGGTGGATGGATGGATTAAATTCAGGTGTGAAGAGACAGAAGGGTGGATGGATGAAAGTAAGGGAGGAATGGGATACATGAATGATGTAAGGTGGTGGAGGGATAAGGAGGGAGAGAAGGAGGCCGCAGAGGAAAGATGGAAAGATGGCAGGCCTCAACAACAGGCCAGTCTGTATTGATTAGTGTGTGTGTGTAATAAAGAAAGCGAGACACTTGGCCCCAGAGAGGGCATGGTTCACTTGGTGTCTGCTTTAACAAGGAGTGTGTGTGTGTGTATGTGTGTTTGAGATCTAAAGCAACTAAATATGCCGATGCGTGCATTTTACACACAGAAATGCGTGGGTGTCTACAGAAATGAATAAATGAAAAAGTATGCGTGTGTGCAAGCGTGTGCACATGTGTATGTGTCTGTTTGTCTGTGTCAGCCCATGTACAGTGCATGCAAGTGTGTGTTTGTGCACGCTGCAGGCTGCACCCCCTATGTGCAGTGCATGAAAACACCTCACACGTACAACAGGGGCCTGCTCATGGAAAAATCAATATGCTGGTGATAGAAATATGCTAGAATGTTCTCTAGGTGAGAGATTGATCTGAGCTCCATGGAGGGCCTGTCCAAAACCAAATAATGGTTAGGGGCCAGCGACCTCCAGATCTCCGCAGAAAACAATAATTATAACCATGCCGTGTATGCCTGGACCAAGCATAAAGGCCACGGTCAATGAAGGCTAAATGCTAACACTGCAAAGGTGGTAGCTCAGCAGTAATAAAAACTGGAGCTTTCAACAATAATTAGGTCCATAATATAATTGTCAAGACTGGGAGTTTTAAAGCATCCAATGACACATATCTAGTCATGAAGATCTTTTTTGTTTTTATTAGCGCAGGTTATGAGAAATCCAACTTTTCCCCATGCCTCCCAAATACAGCAGGTGAGTGGAATTTAATTTGTGGTGCTCACAGCTTCAAAGAATGACTTCAAAACTTCAAAGCCATTTTCAGTAAACAATTTTCATAGGGACTTTTTCTTTGACAGAAAGTAGTCCCAATGAAAACTGTTGGCAGCAAATAAAACAAAAATGTAGGTGAAGTGACCCTTGAACACGACTATTGAAAGAACAAATATTCAAGTAAAGGCTCTGATGTTTGAAATTATTAGTACTTCTTATTAGTGCGTCTACACAATTATAAAACCATTGCAAATGGTCAATACAAAAACTGTTTGTTTTTTCACTCTTTATTTAGTCAAAAAGTGTATTGATGAATATAATCCAGAAAGTTTTAGGCTGACTGAGGATTTTAAGCCAAAACGACCTGCATCATGATACACTCATACTGCATACTGTCTCAGATCAGTGTTTCTATTCCCTAAACAAACCAAATACAGAGCATTCATTCAGATTCGGAGGAGTGTTTTCTGCCATCCATTTAAACGCACTGGCTTTCAAGGCGGATTGAAACCCACAATATGTCCAATGCATGATGTGTACCTTAGTTCACAGATCCATAGACTGCCTTGGCATTATTGATGGTGATGCCTGTGTCCAGCTCGGCCCTGGCAGGTGCAGTAACGCAAGCTGTCAGTGTGGAGCGACCAGGCACATAGACTGATAGAGAGAGACAGCCAAGCCGAAGCAGTGCTGGCGTGAGGAGGTTTAATTGCTCTGTGTGGCATGGAAATGACTGTGTCCAACAGTCATCATCATGCATAGCCTAATGAAAATAAATTCTCTCAACTATATTCTGTCATTTTATTCAATTATGCTACAGGAGGCAAAAGGTTGCTGAGCTGAGTGTATTATAAGTGTTTGGTTGAAAATATGATATTAAAATGCCCAAGTCAAAATTATAAGGAAGATTTGCTAAGATATAAATTGATCTTTTTTTCCCAAAGGCTGGACTGGCCAACGGAACATCATGATATTACCTAGCCAGCCTATCATCAGCACAGCCACTTTTTGAGTGATGAGTCTCCTACAGGAACCAACAGCTGTATGTGCAAATCATGCATATAAATCAATTACCAGGGCCCTATGTACTTTAAATGCACCCATTAATTAAGCAATGTCAGACACAATGAACCGTGAAGTTCATTACATTTTTAGCATTCAAACCCAGGATTATTTGAAGAGTGCATGAGAGAGAGGGAGACGGGTTTACCTAATGATTAGCCCCATAGCTCAATGTCGGGCAGACGCCAGCGGAAATTTCAGGAAAGCTGTTGCGAGAGGAGACAGAACAGCAGTGAGCTGTCTCAGCAATCTACAAAACACGGAAGGGTTGATCAAAAGGAAAAGCAAGGAACAACAACAACTACAACGTGATCGGTGCTGGCTGTGCCTACTTTTGAACTTTCAACTCAAAAAAGCCCTCTCACGCAGCCATCCATACAAGTTCTACCTGATGGACTGATGTGAGTCAAATTTTTTAATATTCTCACTTTGCATTTCCTCAGAGCTTGAGTGCACAGTGAGGTTTAATATATATGCAAAGTTCTCCCGAACAGTGCATGCAACATGCAGGTGCAAACATGAGTACTCTGTGACTAGTGATGTGTGCACACGTAGTATACATCACAGCTAAGCTAACAGTGCATTTTTAATGTATCCAGTAAGTGTCTTAAGAAAGTCAAGAATAGTCTTAATCTTTAGGGTGAAGTGATAAAAAAGAATCAACAAAACTGACGCTTCAAGGTTTCCTTTCATCTACAGCAATATGCAGGTGTTTTTGTGCCTGTGTGTCTGTCAATGTGTGTTGTGTGTGTGTGTGTGTGTGTGTGTGTGTGTGACCTCTGTGTTGCTTCGTGCCAGGCTGCAGTTTGGTTCAAGTTGTTGTGAGATGACAGGAGAGGTTGGGGTGTGTGTGTGTGTGTGTAAGGGGGGTGAAGCAGAGAAGAAGCTGGGCCCAGCTGCCTGGCATTAAGCAATGACCTCTGCATAATGAAAGATGGCGACAACATTTCCCACTCATTACAAGGTTCCACACTGTGACAAGATTTGCATATTCATATATTTTTCCCTCCACCTCCCCTCCCTTTTTTTTTCACCGCAAATTATTTTTTTCCTGTGAGCAGGACATCTGCCTCCCTGACACTGCTCTGGAAGAGAAAAAATAAATAAATATGTGTGCAGAGAGGCACATGATCTATCCAGATGCCACAGAAATATGGCACGATGTTGACATCTCCGCACACCCCGACCGTGTGTGTTTTTTCCGCGGTTTAAGCACCAGGAAATCATGTTAGGGGTCAGTGGAGAAGAATACAGCTTGGGCAGAAAAACCTGACAGAGGTCTGGAATGTATATCTGTTTTGCATATTATTGTTCTACAGTGACATAAATGCCACCAACACACGGGTGGTGCAGGTTGCGCATAGTTGGGGACGACTAAAATTCATGTCACAGAGGAGAGGATCAGTAGATGTGTTCCTGAGCTGATTAGACCAGACCTTTCATTGAACTGGCCTAACCATAAAGCCGAGGTGAGTTTTTCTGTGTATAAATTATACGTTGTATAAAAATAAATATGTAATAAAGAAGAGAGCATTGTAACGTGTTTATTTACATCCAAAGATGGAAAATATCTATGTCTAATATATATAAGTTGAGATTTTTACATTGCCTAAAGTGTTTGAAAAAAGTTAGACTTTTATTTAATATTTCAGATGATATTTTTCAGCAAAATAAATATTATTTATAGATGAGAAGTAATGTGAACATACGATTGAGGTACCCACAAGTTAAGCTGAATGTAACGCCAGACTTCCCTGATGGATATTATACCGAAGGTTTTCTCTGATCAAAAGAGTATCAGAACGCCAAGCTCTCCCACTCCTTTACAAGACATAATTACATTTCAACATCAAACAAAAAGGTGCCATAAATGAAGTTGGGTAAATAGAAAATACAGACATGTATGCAAAGACAGTAAATGTACAAAGTTCTTCATCAAAAGAAATGATTCAGTGGTCCGCTTAAAAAAAACAATCAGAAAAAGGTTTGAAAAGAAAAAAAAAACAAAGCAGCAAAAGTGGGAATATGAATCCCTTTTATTTAGTTGGGTAACTTTAATTCAAATGAATCAGGCTGAGCTGCACCCGCCAACTGTGCCCGAAGAGTTGCCGATCTCAATGTGCAGCATAACGATCACCGCAGCACTTCTGAATACAAACTGTTTTATGTGAATACCTCCAGCTGAGGGCTACATAAATATAGAATTAGACAAAGTGTTATTTTTTTCTTTTTATGTTTTATTTTTCCCCTCTTTTCTCACTCTCCAGCAACATCCCCAGGTTGGGTTGGCTCTAAGCAGATGTAGGCACTCACTTCAAAAAGTTGCAGCTCCCTTATGATAGCTCTGCAAAAAGGTTTTCTTTTAACTTAAATCAGCAAATGTGTGTAGCAGAGACCTAGCGGCGTGTTTCTCTCCCCCAGAAATAATTGCTCCCAGGGATCAATTTGAAATTTAAATTGTGGTGAAATGGTGTTTGTCATTAACAATCAAATATTTGAACCATTGAAATACCTTTGCCCCCTCTGTATCGGCACCCTCTGCCCCCAGTTGGAGAATATTGCACAGGGCATTGTTTTGATGATGATGAACTGCAAAGCTGCTGATACTCTCAGAAAACATCACACGAGAGAGAAAGCAGGAGGAGAAACAAAAGTCATTCATCAAAAATTATAGATTTATATCAAAGTATTAACCTATCAAAACAGATACAGAGACCAGAGGAATAATATTTCGCTGTTCAGACCAACATCATGTTCTACATATACTGTGCTATTAAAGAAAGTCACAGAGAAAGTAAAAAGAACAGAAGTTGGGTAAAAGGGGAAAAAATGTATACTATAGAGGTAGTAAGGTAGGACAAATGGAGAGAAGGAGAAGAGGTCCCTGTCATCTCTGAAAGGCCGGGTCTCTGCTTAATGTTCATTATGGGGCTGATTGAATTGGGGGGTGTAGCACTGTCACTGTTAATGGAGTGATCTCTAATTGGAGCGCATTAGCTCTATAGGTTCTGGCTAGTCTCAAAGGCAGACAGAAGGACAGGAAGCAACAACAGAAACCTGCCAATGCTGACACTACACCAAAATAAACAAAATGTCATTATCAGCTGAGTATTTGCACACAGTGGAGATGGAACTGCCTGTAGAATTATGCCAACATGTTGTGCTTTCCTCATTTTGTATTACAGATGGACTGGTGAATCCAAAAATGTCATCTAATTTTTTCTTTAATCGTGTCTTCCTTTTATGGGGACTTTTAGGCTGCGAAGGCCTGTGGCTGAATGAGTGTGTATGAGTGAGAGTGAATGCATTGTGTGTGTGTGTGTGTGTGTCCATATGCACTGTGCGCCACCGCCCCCCCTGGGCTATGAATGCAATGCTTTAAACATGGAGGTGAGGAGCAACTTCAAGGCCAAAGTAAGGTGTGTTCCTGATAATGGCAAGCATGAACAGCCGCTATCGCCATCCAGAAAGACCAAGAACTTGATCCATAATGGCTGCCCATAAAGGGGAATCATCATCAATGAAAATGACAGGTTATTAAGATCCGATTTTGGGTGGGGGGTGGCTATGGCTTTAGTATGATAGGTTAGCTATCTATAAAACCTTTAAAAGCCTGGCCCTCAATGACATCAGTCCCGATTCTCATCTCCCTGCACCCTGTGCCAGAGACACATGCTAATAAGCTCACAACCTTTAATTAAGCAATATGTGTAAGTAGGCAGCCATTATGGCCTGATTTGTGAGCCACTTCATTACACTGAGCACCGGCTAGCAGACACATATTCAATACAAATCAAGCTGGCCTGAATATTATCCTGCTTAATGTGAGGCCAATATTGATATTTTATCACTCGTGTTCTGATTAGTGACTTTTAGAATCTTCATTTTTCATTGTGTTGAGGCAGCGCTGAACACCTAACGACCTGCATTCATTAGAAGAGTAGCGGAACATTGTTTATTAGGTTACCAATAGCTTATCAATTCACAAATACTATTCATGTTTACTCGAAAGAGATGCAAGAGCAATATAATTTACTTTATTGTTTATCTTGTGACTCAACCTTACATCGTTTAATTTTTTGACAATATTAAGAGTTTTCTTTCTGTAATTTAAAGGTATAGTACCCAGGAAGTACTACACAAATAATTACACACATGCATTTTTTAAAAAGGTAGTCCTTTCAACTGAGCAACTGTTCAACAATTCTGTTTTTAATATTTGAATTATTCAAGAACTGCACAGTATATTACAAAGACTAAAACAGACGGTTGATCGGATGACTTACTTCAAGGTCCAACTATCTCTTCCTTTGCTTTGATATCATTGGTTGAGGTCTTGCAGTGCAAAACTGGAGCCACACCCACTTTCTCCTACTGGCTCAACACGGCGGGACCCTGAGGGAAAAAAAACGTTGCATGAAACTGTAAATTCTGCCAAACAATCAGCAGATAAGAAAGGTGTGGACGTAAGACCATCACGTGTGTGAGATAAGGTGACAAGGACTACCAAACGTTTACTTGTCTTTGTGTGCTCTCAAATATTGTGAGCAAGCTGCGACAATAACACAGGTCATTTTTAATGCCGAAGCACCACTCACTCCCAAATAGTTTCTTCCGTTTCCGTAGCTGTTGTGGAGCACTTGCACCTTCCTTGTCCTCTCTCTGACTGGCAGAGCCCTGACCCGGGCAGGGCATCATCCTGGCTGGATTGTCCACCACTTCCACGTCACCAATCACCTTCAGAAAAAAAAAAAAACATGCATTGGAGAGTCAGCGAGGAAACTTAACAATAAATGAACAGTACAACAGTGTTAAACCCAACTGTTTCAGGAGATCCCTGGGGGGGCAAATGTATCAAGCATCTCAAAGTACAGGTTGAACTTGGATGACAGTGACTGAGATTGGCAGGAGAACTGCTATTTTCCTCTAGGCCTGCGAGTAGTGTTGTCATGCACAGTCTCTACTCTGTCCTGGTGCTTAGAGTGAACTTGGAGGAGAAGCAGAAATGGAGACTTTGTATGACACACTACCTCTCGTCCCAGAGGGGAAACAGCTCTCACAACTCTGGGTTGGCCTACTTATGTATAGTGATATGAAATACAACTTAAATCTCACTGGTACGAACCGTGATACATTGTCAATTTTCTTTAAAAAACGAAATATATTTATCATAAAATATATAAAAAAATAAATAAATACATTCAGTGAAATTGTGGTGCATAAATAATGACTGGAAATGTTCTGCATTCTTTCCATACAACTATATTTTATAACAGCAGCATCAAGTAGTCATGTCTAAAAGGTAGGCTGGCACTTTTCTAAAGTTGCAAATTACACACACAGAGAGCAGCAATTGAGCAAACTTGAAAAAATTTTTCCACAGAGTGCTTCTTTATCTTAAACTAGTATAAACTTGCCAGATAATTACATGCGGTGTACTTTGGAGAAGTCCTCCTGCTAAGCAGATATGGCTGGCAGGGAGGCATTAATCTCCTCATGCAACATACAGTACGTAGCCAAGGACACCCCCCCCCCCCCCCTCTCTCTCTCCTTGTCTGTGTCTCTTGTAGCCACACACACAATACATAGAAAAGACAGCACACAGACACAGCATACAGAGCAAACTCAATTCCTGTATAAATCATATTCATATTTCTGAGGGCTGCCGATGACCTCACGGCAAATGAAGCGTGGGTCCTCAGCTCCGCAGCGGCAATCAAACGTGTGGCAGAGTAATTACAAAAGAGGGGTAGGAGGGAGAATTGATGCGGTTTGTCAATTAATGTTGCTGCAAGGTGTTTTTTCGAAAGGTTAACTTCTTCATATTCTCTGCATGCTAAATTAGGTCAATATTGGTCTGGCGAAGAGTGGTCGTCATGCGCAGACGGACGGTGGGCTGAGTCATGGAACGACAAGACAAAGGGTCCTTGTTAATGAGAGATTTGATGGCATATCATGATGATGAGGTGTCCCTGATGAAACAGCAATCTGCGCTCTGTGCTCTTTACCACTTTGCATTGCTACTGCCTACCATTTCTCAATAATCTCCATTCATCAACATCAATGTCATTATTAGTCATCATCATCGTATTTCTCAGCTTTGTCACAGTTTAAAAAATATATAAATAAAAATCTACAAATTATAAGGGGATAACCTCTCCTTATTATACAAACCATGCAGATAACTAAATGCAATACAGTTAAAACCTTACCATGTGAATAAACTGCATACCTTTTGTTTCTACAAATGGTTAAGCCCCCTACCTAAAAAAAAGGGATAGGGATAGAAAAAAAAAGCACAGCCAAAATTGCAGAGAAAAGTGTTTTTATTTATACAAGTCGCTGGAGATGCTCATCATCAGCGTTTTTTCCGAGCCATAAATAATTTGCGCAGAGAGGTAATATTCAAGCTGGCAGAGCCTTAGTTGTGCATCTTTAATGGAAGTTTTACAGAAGCTGAGCCAGTTCTTGCATATGCTGCTGCCTCCCATATGGAGGAAAGGAGACAAAAGGAGCACAGTTGGCTTGTCCTATCTTTTTATAAGTCCATCGACACTTAAATGCTAGCCCCGGAGAAAAAAACGACACAGGGGGACATAAACCCACTGTGGTTTTAGGAGGGAAGATAATGACTTTGCCTGCATTAATTTCTTCATCAGCCATCTTGTTTCTTCAGACAGAGTGGTTATGAGGCCTTCTCTGAAGGTCCTAGGTTATATAGATTGCATTTCCCTGCATAATTTCGGCCCGAACAGTTGTTGTCAGCACTGCATTTTGTGAGTTGGCAGCTGGGGAACATCTGTTTATAGGTAATGAGTGTTTGAAAACCAACACCTCACTTTACCTTTAATGTCTTTTATTGGAGCACACTGATGGGAACATAGCTTTAACTTTTTGTATTGTTGTGATTCAGCTGGAAGATTTCTTCAACATGGTCAATATTACAGACACATGCCTTGGGCAACACACTGAATGAGAGCATATGATGGATCATTAATATTAACTTTCTTTAAACAGAATTCAATATGCAAGTCAATAAAGACTTCATTATCGTTATATTTTTTACTACACACTCACAACTCAGAATTTACTCCTTCCACAACATCCCTACTCTTGCTAACGATGCAACACAGAAAGAAAAAGAAAAACTTTCAGTCAACATAGGTGGTTCAATAATGGCTGAATAAACAACAGAAATATTAAGTTTCTCATGACTCTCACCATCCAGGAAATCAAACAGGACACACCTCGCTGTTCTGTTCCTTCCAAACAGTGTCTAACAGTGTCTATAGCTCAGGGCACTTCTTCCAGGACTTGCTTTTTAAAGGTGTTCGTTTAGACAAATTCTGGGTGTAAATTTGAGGGTATTATGCAAAGCTGCTGGCCCCTGGAGCTGTGGTCATGTTAGTCTAAGGGAGGAGTAAGTCCTCCGGGGCATTGGTGTCTAAGACACTGCCTGCGAAAAAATAGCTCTTTAAAGGAAATGAGCCATCCATCAATATTTCCTCAGTAAATGGAAACAGACTTCTTAAGTAACGGGATTAGTCATTTAACTAACTGGGACAGAGGATGCAGTCATGTTATTATAAAGTCAAATAAAGTTTTTTTGTCACTTATGATCAAGATTTCAAAACAAAATACAAAAAAAAAAACAGTGAATATATTGTAGATCCCACTACTGCAACTAATAATAATAATAATAATAATAATAATAATAATGGGAATATTTTATTTGTGCATAGTACACATCCTATATTGAAATGTTATCACAAAAGTAATGATATGTTGATATGCTGCAAGGATGCCTGTGTGAAAATGTCAAATAAACCTCAGCATATATGGCTTAAAGTAAAACAAATTACATTAGTTTTTATTGCTTAAACAGGATTCATGCTACATAATACTTTGTCTGCTAACATAGCAGTGTAACCACATCATCATAAAACATGCTATTATTCGGATAAGTGAATAAAGTAATAAGCCTATACGGGAAAACCCATAAAATTGCTTTAAAATGTCATAAATCTAAGAACAGAGGGGGACTTCTCTGCATTACTGTGGTCACTGCATCTCATACTAGAGCCTTTTTCTATTTCATTCTATATTTTTTATCTATTTAATTTTTGTAGAAGTGTCTGCACAGCTGTTATTTCTCTCTCAGGAGCTGTCACCTTACATCTGAAGGCCAGTTTGTACACAGCACCCTGTCGCAGTGTGTATATCGCTGCCAGAATTATATAAAGCACTAATAAAATCAGCTCAAGTGTTCTTCCGAGTGCTGGGGATGCCCTTTGGTGATTCCTGGATCTTTCCCTATACATAAAACCGGTCTATATATTCAGGGGAGGATTAGTTTTGAATATGTAAAGTGGGGGTCCGTGCTGCGAGGCGAAGGGGAATGGCACAGTGCTCTCTCAGCGATGCTGAGCATCGGCGTTATCGCTCCCCACTACCAGCGGGTGAAAGAGGATGCCATCGGCATCTCTTGCTACTGGAGGTCCCTGCCTGTTAAGTTGCAAGGAACAGACAGCAACACCCAAGGGAGACAGTGTGTGTGAGAAAAGAGAGCAACGGAAAGATAGAGTAAGTGTGTGTGTGAATGTGTTTCCCAAGGACAGTAACACCTATCTTTCACTTAAGGTGGCCTCTATGAAACTCCCTTCACAGTTTGAAGAATGGAGAGTCAGCACAGCAGAGATGCCTGGAATTCATTCTTTTACCCTCACTGGGCTGAGGTTTGTGTGTTGGGGTTACGCGTGTTGTAAATTTGTGTCACGTGATTGTTGTAGGTTTTTGTGTATACCATAATTTTTTTTTCCCACAGTAAGTGTAGATCCTTGTGTTTGTCTGTGTCAACGAGTGTGTGCTGATTGGCTCTGTACAATCCCCCCAGATGTCTCATCTGCTATGCACAGGTCTAGAGGCTACTCAGACACACACACACACACACACACACACCGACACCAGTAATAAATATACCGTGCTCTGTGTTTACTCACATAAGCTCACCATCACTCAAATTATGACGGAGAACCATTAGAACGCAAAAGAGCCTCAGAGCTAATTGTTAGCGCATATCACCCCCTCCTTCCTCAGTCCTCTGACATTCAAACTTCAAAATATTCATTTTGTTGGGATGATCCAGGTTGCTCTTGGGCGACTGACAGAATGATTGAGGAAAGGAATGACTCTTTGCTACTGCAGCAGTTGTCACAAAGCACTACTTTTAATTAGGCAACAATCTGTGAATCAGTCTGCTTCTGACCTGCCTGTCTTGCAGGGACATGGAGGACGAGGAGCTAAATATAAGTTAGAATAATCACAATGCACTGCAAAGTTGGGCAGCACTGTCTGCTTATTTTTGTGCTGTTTCAAATTACATCCCATCATAAGCCATAACACAGTGTTAAACAGGCACTAGAATTTTTATTATGCCATACAGATTGTAAATGGTTGTTAAGGGCAGAGGAGACAAAGAAAAAGGTGAGTTTTGTTGACTTTTGGTAGCAGTTTTCATTTGCATGATGAACTTGTTTTGACTTTTTTTCTCAGGGTAAATCCTGTCAATTCCTGTTTGAAAATAAAAAATAATTTCCCATGGAAAAAAATAAAACGTCGCTGTTATTCACCCTTTCAGACCACAGAGCTGTACTGTTGGCTTTTTATTGTTCTGAAAGCAGAATAATAAACTAGTTATAGCATCTGTTTCTGTCCTCTCTTCAGAGGATGAGAGAGAGAGAGAGAGGGAAGGAGGGAGTGGTTTGTGAACCTCAAATCCATCTCTCCACCCTTTTACTCTGCCTCCCTTTGTCCTCCTCTCTTCATTTCTCTGCCTTGGCTTAGGTATGTGCTTTCTCTGTATTTATGTTCCGATAATAAATTGCATTTAATCCCTTTGTCAATATCCTATGGTAGAATTGACCCTGAATATTGTCAAATAAAACTTTCACAGGTAAAATAAGGAAAGTGACCTTGTACTTACTGTAAATTCCAGTATACTGTGAAAATTTCTTTTTTTTGTGGACACATTGTATGCAACATGTTGATATCCCACCTCAATGATAGCTCCATCCGGTTGTCGGAGGAAGTGCCTGTATCTTTGTTTCATCCCACTCAAGTACAGGGTGTAGACTGCCACATGTGTGCTGGTCTCTCCATCTGGTAAGGGTGCCCTCTCCCTTGGGCTTTCACTAGGGGCCGCAGAACCTGCCAAGGGGTCTTCCGCAGTCCAGATATAGTCATAGACTGCCACCTAATCAAGCACAAAAATGAAGGAAGATAATGACATATTGTGAGCAGGGACTGTAAACTCTTGAATTTCTCCTACTGGGGATTAATAAAGGTATATCTTATCTAAGTCTTTAAAGTGGGCTGCTAAATAGTATTGCATTAGCAATTTATGTTGTTGGAAAATCAAACCAAGAAGACAAAAAACAAATGGATTAAAAATGAGGAGAATAATGTATGTGAAAGGGAAGTTTTCAAAAAGATCGATATCTTTCTATCAATCCTGTCAAACGTGAAAATACTCTTCAGCGCTTGCTACAGGTATGTTGTGGGTATAATCCTCAAATGGCACAAAAATATGTTTCCGTAACTCTATTTTATTGAGATAACCCAATATCAAAAACCTGTGTTAATATGTATATATTAAAATCAGTCTGAACTGTACCTGTACCTGTAAACGGTTAGATGTTCATTTTAATTACATACAACTGCAGCCACCAGATAAGCACCACTGGCGCACAGTACATCAGCGCGCTAATTCCTAGTAGTGCATGAGTCCTCTGGGGCCTGATCTGTGGCAGGTAAAGAGACAGGTTGTGTTTGTGATCATGTATACATGTATAATCCTGGTGGCAGGCTTGTTTATGACTCTTTGTGTGTGTGTGTGTGTGTGTGTGTGTGTGTGTGTGTGTGTGTGTGTGTGTGTGTGTGTGTGTGTGCGGCGTGTGTTGGGGGCTTACACACCTGTAATACGCTGCCCCTCTGTGTTAGGGTGAGACACGTGGAGCAAGCGAAGCGTGTAACATGTTATATAGGTCATGTAACTTGAAGTCATCCATGTGTGAAGATCATGGAAGCTCTCTGCCTTTCTGATAGTGTCTGCTGGCGGAGGCTTGAATGTCTGATCGCATGGATTACTGTAGATCGTATACATCATGTTAACTATAACACAAAGTAGTAAATCCATACGCACACACATTAAATGTAATGAAACTATGACAGAGCCTGTTTTGTCTGGCATAAATCCCAAATACGTGTTCCAGACTGCCAAACAAAAGGACTTTTTATGTGATCCCAACTCACTCACTTTACCCTCCCCTTACAAACACGAAGGAGAAACTATAGTGGCCGCAAAATGTGCAAAAAACAGCAAATGCTCCTATCTTATTCCGTTCTGGGCTACTGTAGAAACATGGCAGTTCAGCAAGGCGACCTCAGCGTCTGTAGATAACAATGGCTCATTCTAAGGTAACAACATAACAATTCCTATATTCAGGTGATTATACACTAAAACATACCTAGGAATCTCATAAATGTTACATACTGGACCTTTAACTTTCACACCACAGACCAGTTAAAACCACATGTCCACACACATACACTCTAAGCCACACACACACACACACACACAGTCAGAGTCACAAAGAGGAGGAAGTTTTTCAAGTAGTTTGTAAAACTCAAGGTGACCCCCTAATTGGCTGCGTAATTATGATTCGTCTAAAAATACAGAAAAAGGAAAAAAAGGCAAACTCATTCAGCGGGCCATGAGTGGCAGGGTCAAGCTGAAGGAGAGGTTTAATTTGGTGGTGTATCGATGTCACCCCACACTTATAAACGCTTAGCCAAACACAACTCTAGGCACTTCACCGAGAAAACAGTGGGAGCCATTACCCCCCTCGTAATTAGAGACACTGCATAAACTGCGAAACAGACAGCCCCGTGAGTAGAAAGGACCTCATTGTCAAAATGTCAAAGAGTCACAAGTGCAGAGAAAAAGAAGACTAGCCAAGAACATTTAAAGAAGGTGTGTGTGTGTGTGTGTGTGTGTGTGTGTGCATGTGTGTAAGGGGGGAGGTGGGGACGCGGGGATGCATCTCTTCAATGCTAATTAAGACGCTCATTAGTGAAATCGCCTCAACTGCGCCTTGCCTCTAGCTTGGCCTCGGCCCACACTGGGGGAAACTGATTACCTGAATTCCTTAAGTAATCAGCACCTCTGCTAGGCAGCAATCAGTCTGTTTGGATAGTGTGTGTATGTTGATTTGCTGCCTTTTTTTTTATACATTTTAAGTATGTGTGCAGAAAATCCAAGACCTTCATATATGGCAGTTTTTGGCTTGTTCGTGACACACTAAGAGATCACACATTGAGAGTCCCGAAAAAACTGGGTAAGAAAACATCATTTCCCGCTGTGCTGGTCACAGGAAGTGTGCCTATGACCCGGTTAAGGCCCCAGTCCAGGATTGTATAAACCAAGCTGTACAGTGGTGATAGAAACACCATGGCTTCAGCCTCTGTACTCTAAGTCACTTTGGTTAAACACACCTGCTTAAATTTCCCTGTGTGGTATGCATGTGTATGTATTTTGGCTTGCATGAAAATAGATTTTTTTTATGTTAGCCATGCCACCATCCTACGCTAATTAGCACGTGAAATCCAGTTGACAAGACTAGACAAAAGCTTGAAAAGGTGTTTGTGTGTTCGGTTTGGGTGATGCCATTTCATGCAATGCACCATGGCTCTCAGGATGCATCACTCCTGAGACACAAAAAGGAAAGGAGCATTAGAGGGCCTGTCTGCTCTTCACTACTCTGTTCTGGTCTGTTGTGTTGCGTTATGGTGCTAGCCTGGCTTCTAGCCCTAGCTTGAGTGCTCTCTCCACTCCACCATTGTTCCATTTGATAGCACTAAGTGACTGATTTAGGTTCAATGCCTGCATGGAGCAGACAGGCCAGCTGTGGGTTAAGCAGATAGCATTCAAGTGAGCTAACCCAATTCAAACCCAATCAAGCCAGGATTTATTGTTGGGGTCTGTATTTAGAAATCTGATAGAGTCTGCATCAGTCCCTTGACTTGCATCAGGAGAGACGGGCCTTATTTCTTTTAGCGGGGGACTATAAACAGCAAACCATGTTTTCCAGCAGGGACATAAATTTCAGTATTTGTAGACATTACCGCAAATGCACACAGAGAATGGGAGGGAGGGACAGGGGCACAGGAAGTGGGGATGGCACAGCTGCAGACATGGCTCCATGGTTCACAAATATAGTCTGTCTGTCTTTCTGGGAGAAGATGCGATTTCACACCTACCGAATCATACCATACCACGTATGAATGCAGAATAAAAGCAGTCAGTACTTAAATACAGGCGCCTGTGGAAAGCTTTTCTTTCTAAAAATCCACTGTGACTTGTAATAAAATTTGACTGACCTGTCAATCATTTTTATTCAAGTGTGTACAAATATAAAGTGTCAAGAGATGGATTTGGATTTCCTTTGCTGTTTTGTTAGTTTGAGGCCAAAAAATAGGCATCACTGCCTCAGAGATAAAAGGGTAAATGCACTACATTCTAAAAGGGATATTCGTTTGTGTTATATTTAAAAAGTGACCCATATTCAAACCTAAATTAGGATTTAAACTTGCAACTAAGAGCTAAAAAGAGGGCAGACCGTTTCTGGGAATTAAACAGTAATTTTCCACTGGGTGATAGACTGGTCTAGTAAAAGCTATGTCTGGGATAGGTACAGTGTATTTTATATTTTTATCTCACACGTCCTTGACTGTCACAAATATCAAAGTCTGACATTTTTCTCCATTTTGTGACATGTCGATATAAACACAGTGTCTAGGGTTGACCATTATTAAAAAAGGACATTTCCGCTGTGACCCCATCCGGCATGTCCCTGCTGACAACCAAAACACTTCCCAAACTTTACCCTATGACCTTGCACAAAACTTTGCTAGTTTCAGATGATAATCAAAACACAGTGTCAAAATGGGAACAAATCAAGTCACCCGTAGTCAAGTAATGTGTGCTTTAATCCACCATTTTGAAAACACTACCATAAGGGGATAAGGGGGGATGCATCACTGATTACTAAACACAAACTAGCAAGGCCCCTGAGTGAGTTATCCATAGCTATTAAACATGTAGCCTTTATTGGGGAAATGGTAGACATGTGTGTCCACCTAAGTAAGTTTTTTGCAATTGTGTATGATATATGAGTACATTATGTATGTGTGTGTGTGTGTGTGTGTGTGTGTGTGTGTGTGTGTGTGTGTGTGTGTGTGTGTGTGTGTGTGTGTGTGTGTGCACTTGTGCGTGTGACTGAACTGAAGGCAGAAGAGAAAGAAACGTCTCAATGGGCAGGCAGACTGAGCCGGGCTGGCGACTGTCCAGGACCGGAGCCTAAGGCGTGGGTACGAACAGGCCTGTCAGTCCCCGTGATCCCTTAATGATTGATCCAAACTAGATAGCCATCATTACCATTCATGCACTCTCTCTTCCCCAGGTCTCCCTTCCTCTGTCTAATTTTACCTTCCATTTGCATGTTCCCATGGACTAATTAAATCTTTCCCTTCTCTCTCATTCTCTCTATCTCTCTACCTCACTCTCTCTGTCTTTCTTTCTCGCTCCATGTCCATTGGTATGAAAAATAATGCAGCACATTTTTGGCACATTATTATGTATGAAATGTGAGGGCATAATGTATTCCAGTTGGTTGAAGTTCTCTAGACCCTGCCTGTAATGAGCACAACAGAAGTAGACTTGCTACACAGCCTGTGTGAATGCTATACCTCCATTTTCTCCCCTCTCCGTCTCTCTCGCTATCTCCCCTCCTATAGACAAAAGCGGCTGACCTTCCTTTCGTCAACCACCCACACGCTTTCTTCAGCTGTTTCCCACTCTTCACGCAGTTCATACGTTGGAGGGCTGAGGTTTCCTCCTGCCACCGCCATGATCATTTTGGTTTGTAGTTCTGTCCCACTTGGCTTTAATTTACAGTGGGAAAATAATTAGAATCTCACTTTTGCGAAGAGTGGAGTGAAAATGTAAACAATGCTTCCCTGCGGGCGGGTGCTTCATCACTTTGACAGGTGCATTTGAATTTGCCTGGGTGGCGGACAGGCTTGGTTATTTATGTGTCAGTCGCACATGGAAGCCCCGGCTGTGGCTGGGACTACGGTTGGGACTGAGACTAGGGAAGAGATTGGAGCTCTGGGTGATGCCGGTTTAGATTTGAG